CCTCCCCAAACATTTCTCCCCCCTTGTTAATATCTAAGCAGATGGCAAACCCATTTTGGTCACTGAATACAATAATCAAGGGTTTATCTTTTAATTTACTTCTCTTTTTATCATTGTCCAGTCTATCAGCAGGACCTGATTGGTCAGAACCCAACTCATTTCATTCATATCAGCACTACCACCCAAGACCCAGCCACCATCATCACTTATCTGACTGTAATACATCATAAATAATGCCCTTTGTTTGACTTTTTTTTTTTTTTTTTTTTTTGAGACAGGAGCCTCAAGCTGTCCCCCTGGGTAGAGTGCCATGGCTTCACTGCTCACAGCAACCTCCAACTCCTGGGCTCAAGCAAGTCTTCTGCCTCTGCCTCCCAAGTAGCTGGGACCACAGGCGCCCACCACAACGCCCGGCTATTTTTTGGTTGCAGCCGTCATTGTTGTTTGGCGGGCCCAGGCTGGATTCGAACCCACCACCTTGGGTGTACGTGGCAGGTGCCTTAGCCACTTGAGCCACAGGCACCGAGCCCCTTTGTTTGACTTTTATACCCCTGTTTACTCCAGTTATGTTTACATTGACTTTTGGACACCATTTAACACATGGCAATTGGAATGGCACTTTAAAAACGTAATTTTAGAGCATGTCACTGCTCTCTTCAAAACATCCAATATATGTAGAACTCAAGAAACCACAGACATTGGAATTAAGAGAAAAGAACTATGAAGAGGTTATCATAAGTATATTCAAAGTCTTAAAAGAAAAGATAATTATAATAATGAGCAGAAGAGCAATATCAATAGAGGAATGGAAATGACCAAAAAAGTAGCCAAATGTAACTTTTAAAACCAGAAGCAGTGTCTGGAATGAAAAGCTCACTGTACAATCTCAGATAAGCAAACAAAAGTCCTCACAAAAATCAGCATGCAGCCTGTGGGCTGAAGGTTGGACACCCCTGCCAATGATGTGATCTTTTCCTCTTATTTAAATCCTGCAACAAAACAACTAAATTTAAATTTCCAGGGCTGACTCCTTCCTGAGCTTCAGACTTTGGCTTCAAACTGCATATTTGATCTCTCCACTTGAATATTTTCAGTATTTCTCAAACATATCACGGTCAAAGTAGAGCTCTTCGTTTTTATGCCTTGAACATTGTCTTCAGAGTCTTCTTCCACGTTACAGAGTGACACCACTTTTAGTCCAGTCATCAAGCCAGAAATCTGTGAGTCTTTCTTGACTTGTGAGCCTCTTCATCGCATTCATTTCATCAGCAAAGTGCATTCCTTCTACCAATCAATGATTCTCAAGTCGTCGTTTTTTCTCCACTCCATTGCAGCTGCCCTAGTCGAAGCCCATCTCACCTGGATTGCTGCTAAGTGGTTTCCCTGCCCCAGCTCTTGCCTTCTAGTCTGTGCTCCCAGTAGGAGAGTGAATTATTGAAAACACAAATGAGAACATCTCACTTCTCTGCTTAAAACCCACGTCAGCTTCCTACTATATTTAAAATGAAATAAAATCTCTTATCTTGGCCTTTCAGGTCTTAGTAAATCTGTCCACTGCTTTTCCTCTCTTCCCTCCTATTTCTACTCTGAACTCACACTGCGCCACACACACTAGATTCTCTAAGAATTTTCCCGCTTCAAAGCCTTTCACGTACTCTCCTTATCAGGCTGTTTCCCCCCCAATTTCCCATGCTGGTTCTTTTTCATCCTGAGGTCTATCCAGAGTAGATGCTCTCAACCAACCCCTCTGCTCTTACCTTACCATGGTCTTTATTTTTTTCTTAGCACCTGCCATTCAGTACTCACCTTTTTCACAAGTTTATTTATACAGTGTATATACCATTATGTACAGGAAGACAGAGACTTTGTCCAACTCATTCGTCAGACGATGCCCAGTAGCACAGTGCCTGTCAAATAACACAAACTCAATAAGTAATTAAACAAATCAATCAACATCTAAACTTGATTTTTCTCTTTCACAATTTTTTATCTTCTTGTTGGGTAAATTGAAGTCATTTCCCATTCTCTTCCCAAAGACATTATAATGTACAGTGGACCCTTGAACCATGCTGGGAGTAGGGGCATCTGGTTCCTACCCAGTCAAAAATCTGCATTTAACTTTTGATTTCTTAAAACCTTAATTGCTCATAGCCTACGGTCGAAGAAAAGCCCTTACCAGTAATATCAACAGTCAATTACCACATGCTTTCTATTACAGGCATCATAAATATCCTCAAAATAAACTAAGGAAAAGAAAACTAAGAAA